TCCAGAGTTGACTGAGAGCAACTGATACTCATTGAACTTTTCCACTTAAGACCTGAGTTTATCAATTTTGATTTAGCTTCTTCCCACTCTCCTTATTTTCTCCCTCACCTTAGATGGTTTGCATTGCTTTTAACAGGCTTTGCATTATAAATTATTAAGGTGGAGAACATGGCTGATTTATTGGTGTTGGTGGTGATGAAACAAAAAAGCCACGGTAATTTGGTGATGGAAAAAAAGTGTTCAGCTGTGTGTAAGAGCACTTCTGGATGTAAAAGAGGAAAAAAATGAGCTGAGTTTTAAGGGTTCTTGTGGTGCAGTGTGAGTGTCTCTACCTCCAGGCCACAGGACCCACAATCAAGTTCCACTTGCTCCAGAGGTATCCAAACAGGTTGGTTGGAAAATGTGTTTTGTATTCATACCACAGTCTGAGACAGATTAACACTCCCTCGAGTCAGTTGTAATGGCAAACTTAAACCTGTAACACTGAATGTCTGCACTATGTTAAGATATTTGTATTGCAGAATAAAAGCTGTATCTGGGTTTTATCCACAAACGGTTAGCTCAGTTGGCTGAATGGTTGGTTTGCAATACAGAGTGATGTGGTGTTGGTTCAATTCCTGCATCGGCTGAGGTTACCATGAAGGACTCTCCTTCTCATCCTCTCCTCTGGCCTGAGGTGAGATGACCATGAGGTTAAACCAGCACCAGTTGTCTCTCTGTAAGAGACGGAGAGCAGCCCTATGAGGGGCCCCTCTGACCAAGTCGTAATGTTCCTACCTTTGAGCCAGGAGGCTTGGGTTAAAGTCTCATCTACTCCAGTGGTGCGTAATAATATCCTTGAACTGGCTGATTAGAGAAAATCTGAGTTTTTGAGGGCTCATGTGGTGCCTACCTCTGGGCCAAGAGGCCTGGGTTCAAGTCACACCTGCTCTAGAAATGTGTCATTGCATGTCTGAACAGGTTGATTAAAAAATATCTGAGAGCTGAGCCCTTACTGTGCTTCTAAATTGTTACTTGTTTTAGTTGTAAACTGGGTAAGCTGGTGGTGGTTCTAACCTGAATTCTTAACAGTCCAGTATAATTGTAGGCTAAGGCGGTTCATGGACTCCCAGCCCAACTGATTGTTCTGCAGAGCTGTGGAGTCCATGGACCATGTTTACATTGACTGTGGGATGCTGCAGCCCATTTTCACTTCGTTGAGAAACCTTTCACTGCCTTTTTGGTTACACTTCACACTCCTGATCCTTTGACACCCTGTGAGGAGTGAACAGATCAGACGGCCGCTTTGTGGGTCTACTCCTGGGCCTAGCTAAAGTAGCCAACAACAGTTCCCAGCAGTGGGTGATAGAAGGGGCCGTAATTCCCAACTGCCCAGCTACTCCTGAGGCTACATCATTGGAGATGAATCATTCATTGTCCCCCTGTACCTCTCAAAGCTTCCAGAGGGACTTGGGCACAGCGTTACTCGCCCCACCACTCCATTTTGATTTAGCTTCCACTTTTCTTACCCTTTCATGATTTTTGTTATTGTCACATCTAATGTTTGTAATTTGTTAAATGGAGAATGGGGAAATCAGTGTGGGTGTTTAAAATAAAACCAAAAGGGCCTCAGTTATTCTCCAGTGTGAATGAGTTTCTAGATAAGCAAAGGATCCAGAAGGGAAAGCTGAAAACTGAAGTTTGTATAATATTGTAGATTAAAATTAAAAAATTTGTTAAGTCTGAGCCTTTTGCCTAATTCAATTTACAGATATCGGCATAGAAAACAATACAAGCCAAATATCTGTAAATCCACACAGGATATGATTAAGAACACAAATATTAGCACTACAGCTTTGAATTTATTATTCTTTTCATTTTAAAAAAAACTTCTTGGTCCTCTGAAAGGAAAGTGATCTAGATAGCTTGATGAAGTCATTTCTTAATAAAGAGAGATTAAGGACTAATCCAATAATCCATTTTACACTGCTCCATAAATAATATGCAATTGACAAATGATATTTTTAAGAGGAGTCCATTGCTTTATTTTCACAGCTGCAAATGGTGACTTCACTGGCCAGCAAAAATCTGTTCCCTTTCCCCACAACATGAAAAGTGTCCTGTTTTGAGGGGCTTTGTAAGATTTTAAGGATGGCTCCCCACACGATATAAACAGATGCAGATTTACTCTGGTCAAATCATTCAACACAGTCATCAGTGACTCATTTTTGTTCAGTAAAATTATGGGTATGAATATGATTGAGTCTATTCCCTCTACTTCACCATGTTTACAAATTGTAAGATCGGCAGTATGAATCATCTTAATGACATCCCTGTTGAAATGTATACATATAAGTATATAATCAGTAATTAATGCCTGATGCTTTGCAAGTAAAATTATTTAAATTAAAAATGGATGTTGCATCTTTAAAAATGCAAATATCAGATTGGATTTTTCCATAATTGTGCAACACTCCTGTGAAAATGTTCTACAATGTCCAAATATATTCAAGTTAAAAATATATCAAATCTCAGAGTTATAGAGGTTTACAGCATGGACATAAGCCCTTCAGCCCAACTTGTCCATGCTGCCCAGTTTTCACAATTAATCTAGTCCTATTTGCCTGCATTTGGTCCATCCCCCTCCAAACATATCCCATCCATGTACCTGTCCAAATGTTTCTTAAATGATAAACTTCTGGCAGCCCGAATCTATAGGATCTTTGGTACCTTTTAAGGTTTTCCTCCTATTACCAGTGATATTCATGGGGCTTGGGAAAAGGGGAAGATGAGAAATGCAGCCAGCTATAATTCCACATATTTCTAAAGATAATCATAAGGTGCTAACCTTCATAGGAAAGCCAGTGATTCTGTCCAAAATGTGTATACTTGACCGTATTTTTAAAATGTGTGTGTGTGTGTGTGTATGGAGTGTGAGGGTCAGGTGACGGCAAAGACAGTGGCCTGGTTATTGAAGATTAACTATCCCTGTGTGTGCGAGGGTGTGGGGACTGAATGTCTATGGAGGATAAACTACACAAGGGAAAATGTCTACTCTGATTAAGACTGTAAAAAGACATGGATGCTCTATGTTAGAAATACTGCATCCAGTTCCAAATTCAATATTCATCCTATCGCAGGCAAAAAGACAAAACGTTTCAGTCAAACTTTCAATTATCTGACAATACTGGAAACTCATCCCATGAAGGGGGCATACTTTTGAACAATTGAGATTAAAAACCATAACACTATTATTCTGAGCATAGGGTGGTACTGAATGAGACTTGATAAATTTAAGCCAAACTACCTGCACCAAAATAATGCATTCTGCATAAGAGATCACTATCAAAGATTGTAGTGGTGGAGTTCCTTAAAAATTGGTCAGTGTTCATATAGTGTGTATGAGCTCTGTAAAAATGCGAAGCATGAATTGTGTGGTGCTGTCAAATTGCATATTCTTCAACAGGAAACAAATATGCCTCTGACAGCGCTACAAATGTCACTCAACTGTTTTAAGCTCTACACATTTGCACCATATATGAAAAAAACTCAGATTGAGAAGTGACAGTTGAAGAACAGTCCTGAAGCAGGATATACTTTACATCAGAAAATGAATAAATAGTACATTCTTTGCTAAACTTGGCTGGCAGCTCTTTTAAAATACAAATTGATGCTGCTACCTCTTTTATGTAACTCAAGATAGGTACAGCAGTTGGAACTGTTACAGATTCGGAGGCTGATTGTTTGGAATTACAAATATGGATCAGGATTTCCCCAGTTCCCTTAAACATTTCCCTTTTAACAATGCATCGATTTTCCAGCTCCCAATACTATCACTTGTTGCCCAGCAGCCCAATGGTGAGTGAAGAAGGTTCAGTGCTTGCAGTTAGGGGTGTAAACCATGAGGGCAGAACACAAAAGAAAGAGAAATTGGATCTTATTCTATTTGTGTGCATTCCAATTGGAAGGCAGATACACTTAAATAATAAAAAAATTCAGTCTACAGTAGTTCACCAATTGTTTTGTAAGTGTTTATATTTTGTTTTTCATTTTCTCCTATTTACTTTTCTGGACTCACTACACGGTTGTAAAAATGAACAAACTACATCTCTTTCAAAAATAGTAAGAACTGCTGATGCTGGAGTCAGAGATAACACAGTATGGAACTGGAGGAACACAGCAGGCCAGGCAGCATCAGAGGAGCTGGAAAGCTGTTGTTTCAGGTTGGGACCCTTCTTCAGAAATGGGGAGGGGCAAGGGAGCTGGGAAATAAATACAGAGAGGAGGGGTGCACTCACCTATCACCATTCCAGCCCCACCCCTCCTCTCTCTATTTATTTCTGAGCTCCCATCCCCCTCCCCCATTTCTGAAGAAGGGTCCCGACCCGAAACGTCAACGTTCCTGCTCCTCCGATGCTGCCAGGCCTGCTGTGTTCCTCCAGCTCCACACTGTATTGTCTTACACCTCTTTCAATGGTGCTTTCAAACCTCTTTCTGAATCTGCGCTATTGGCATGGTGAGGAATTGATCTGACTACATCCAGACTCAATGATAGACCACTCCTTCAGGTAATTAAATGAGGCAGGTATACACAGTCCCAGTACAAAGTGTGTCTGATGTCAGTGCAGCTTCCATCCACCGCTGGGAGTGTTGCAGTTTGTCTAAACAGTCTGGGAGATGGACAGAGTTTATATGGTTGTTGGAAAAAGTGGAAGCAGAAAGCATTAAGAAAAAAGCAAGACGTTACATTTGCCCTTCCACTTCAGGAAAGACCTAATGCAAATCAGGAACTAGCACAAGTGGAACTTTTAACCTTGGTGGTTGACAAAATGCAGATCAGTTGCTCATTATACACAGTTTAATTTTTCCATTCTCAGTAGTTTTAATGGAAAGTAACATGGGGTGTGGTGTATAGCAAATATGCAACATGTAACTTGATCTACTTTACTGGCCACCACCATCGAGATAAAGCCAAACTAATCTTAAGAGTTTTGTGAGCAATGTTTTAATTTGTCACATACCGAATCCTAGGGGCTGCCCACCTATCCGAACCATCTTCCAGAGCTCCCCTGATGCACTCGTAAACAATAGGTTGTTTGGAAACCTGGGATGATACAGGGAAATAACGCAACTTTAATTCGCAGAATCTGAAAATTATCATTCGGCTCTTAAATAAAATCAATTCTAAATAAAAATGTAAATGGGTTTTGAAGTTATATCCCTAGATTCTGATAGCATTGTACAATGTACTTTTAAAATAAAAGACTAATCAACTTTTCATCCTGAGCTGAATGTGTCCCTCACATTGTTGTTGACTGAAGCATGGCTCCAGTTTCCATGGCATTGAGAACATGAAAGCTCGTAATGCCAATGGCAGTCAGAAACTTGAGGTGGTGGTTTACCAAACTGCCAATTCACCAAGAAATGCAGTCAACTGATTTCACACAGTGGTTAAAAATCAATCCTACGGGTATCTTTTTTAGAAACAAACAATGCCTCCCTTTAGGGGCTGAGCATACATTCTGAGTTTTGTGAAGTGAAAATTAGCTCCTAAAATTCTTGAGGCTAGGAAGGACTTAAGTTGCATTGTAAATGCAACAGTTGGCTGTGTGGTGTAGGTCTGTGGTAGCTGGGTTTTGCAATATGGATTGGACCCCATTCTGCAAAATCTAGAATGTGTGCTCAACCTCCAAAGGGGACCGTCTCCTCAGCATAGCTTTGAATTCCAGTTGGCGGGGTGTGGGGTTTGGTGGTGGTGCAGCGGGGACATAGCATCTGCCCATCCCACATTGAGGAGTGCACTGTGGGAAATTCTTGCACTTCCAAATAGGACTCCCTTTGCCCTAGAAAAGCTTTGGCAGAGCTCATGCCAGTTGAGATCTAGCATGTACCCCTTTGAGGCCATCACTAGAGTAATGGTGAAGAGTAACTACTTATATTTCCCACAACTTAATAAAGACCGTCTTATACCTTTGTTGTGTCTGCACATCCATCACTAAGGAGATATAGCCCTCAATGAGAGAGAAGGAGAAGAAACGAATATGACCATTTTCATCATTGCCTACTGCGGAATCTTTCATGCTAGAAATACAATGAATGTATAATAAGATTACACTGTATCAATAATCTGTGCCCTTTTAACGTATGTCTATAATATATCTTTCTATAATCAAGCATGTTCATTTATTGAGAATTCACATTAAGATTCCACTTTTATATGTAGTTTGCAGAAAAATATATGCTATATAGTTATGTACAACATACATGTTTATGAATGGAAACCTTTCAACATTTAATTCAATTTTAGTCTCCATATTCTTCACAGGAACTTGTGGTTTGACCGTGTCTGTGCTGTTGCTGAAGCACTGTGAATTTGAAACAAACACTTTTGTAATCTTCCCAACTTACCCATTGGAATAAAACATGACATCCATGAGGAGTGTAGCCACAGTCGGTAAGGTATCAGGGTCCAAACTGGTTACACAGAACTTGTTGCTGGGACTGGACAGCGGATGAATGACTGGCCTTTGAACTATGTGACAGATAAACAACAGATGATTACTGCAAGTTACAGTATGGTACCAGTGACAAATGGAAACGGAAGTACAGCAAAAATTGTCATTCTACTATTCTCATAACTTTTCAGCAAGAACACTGTATAAATGCTGTGGTAACGTGCAGATCTAACAATTTATGAATCATCATAGAATCCCTACAGTGTAGAAACAGGCCTTTTGGCCCAACAAGTCCACACTGACACTCAGAGCATCCCACCCAGACCCATCCCCCTGTAACCCACTTAATTTGCACATTCCTGAACACTATGGGCAATTTAGCATGGCCAATCCACCTAACCTGCACATCTTTGGACTGTGGGAGGAAACTGGAGCACCCAAAGGAAACCCATGCAGACACAGTGAGAATGTCCAAACTCCACACTGACAGTTGCCCGATGGTGGAATTGAACCGGGGTCCCTGGCGCTGTGAGGCAGCAATGCTAACCACTGGGCCACCATACTGCCCATTATGAAGACCTCAAAGAAGTTACCCCTCCCTAAACAAATGCTACCAGCAACATCACTCTGTATGAGTCGAACAAAGGGCCTTCCTTTGAAGTGCGCACGTTGAGGGACTGTTGATTAACCCTCATTCTGCACACGTAAAAATATCGGTAAGGTACCACCGAGACTCCATTCTGGGAGGTCACAAAATGCACTGGTGTTATCTATTGTCATTGCTGCTTGTTACAGTCCAGATATTAGATATGCAAATTATCACGGTGGATACAGAGTGTTCTTCTTTATAAGTTATGAGAATAGCAGGATGATGAGTTTTGGTGTATTTCTGTTTATTACACTACATTATCCTCTTCTGTAATGTGATGATCAGAACCATGCGGTGTTTCAAGTCCGTTCTGAGTGCAGTCAGAAAAATATTGTATAAAGTGGTAGTGCTGCCTTGTTATTTTGTTTCGATATTGACCTCACCACTGAATTTGATTTACCGAATGCCCTAGAGCAGGAAGGTTATGACTTTCATTTTTACGCAAAATTAATACACTAATCGTTATTTTTTCCCTCACATTCCAAATACTTAAAGTGTGAATACTTCCCAGTTTATAGTGGGTGTAAACTCACCTAGCTTTGGCTTCACAAATCCATTGGTGATTCCTAAATGATCAGCAGCAACTGGCTCCCCGTTTACGACCCTGAGGATGGTAAATTCTGCTGAGAGAGTGTGCATAACTAATGGCAGATCTTTTTCCCGTACCTAAGGATGAAATAAATGAAAAATGATTTCAAACCTCCACTGATGGTTTTATTATGTCTGTGGCAGGAGGATTAACCTGAAATTACACGGTTCACAAATTTAGGAGGAGATATAAAAATGATGTGAAAGTGACTGTCCTTGACATTAAGGCAGCATTTAACTGAATGTCGCATCAAGGAGTGAAAGCAAAATTGAGTCAACTAGAATCAGGAAAATTTCTTTGCTTGCCAGGGGTCATGGCCTAGCACAAAGGAAGATGGTTGTGGTTGTTGGAGGCTATTCATCTTGGTTGCACAGGACATTATCCTAAACCCAAAAATGTCACGTCATTTCAACAACAACTTTGCCTCCATAATCAGGTCAGAAGTGGGAATGTTCTTTGATAATTACAGTGCTCAGTGTCATGTGCAAATTCTCAGATTCTGAACCAGTGTGGGCTGCAGGCAGCGAGATCTGCTTTAGATTTGGGCTGATAAGTGACAAGTAGCATTCACACCACACAGCTGCCAGACAATGACAAATCTCCAATAAGAGATTATCTAAACACACCCTTTAACATTCAGTGGACATTACTATCATTGAATCCACCAGCAGCAACATCCTATGAGTTGCTCTTGAACAGAAATGTAACTAAACCCAGCACACAAATACTGCGGTTACAACAGTGGGTCTGAAGTTGGGAATTCTGTACTGAATAACTCACCTCCTGCCTCTCCAAAGCCCATCCATTATCTAGAAGAAACTAGTTGGAGTGTGATGGAATTCTCTCCACTTGCAGGAATGAGTGCAGCTCCAACAGCAGCCACATAGCTTGGCATCGTCCAAGACAAAACAGCCAGCATGTTTGACACCCCATCCACAAAACATTAAGTTAAACATTAATTGCCTCCATCATTAACACACAATGGTATCAGTGTGCATCATCTAATGTGGTAACTCATCAAAGTTCCTCTGACAGCAACGTCCAAACCCACAACATCCACCACCGACAGAATCAAAGGTATTAGCTACCTGGGAACATCACCTGCAAGTTCTCCTCCAAGCCCCACACTATCTATCCTTGGAACTATATCACTGTTCCTTCACTGTTGCTGGGTCAATACCTTGGAACTCTCGCCCCAACAGCATTGTGGGTGTACCTACAACCAAGTACCACAGCAGTTCAAGAAGGTGGCTCACGACTACTTCACAAGGGCGATTAGGGATCGGCAACAAGTGATGGCCTTACCAGTGATGCCCAAATCCCATGAACGAATAAAAAGTACTCACTGAGTCAGGAGAGTTTGAAAGATTATTGTATCTGAAATTGATGTTGATGAGAGGCGATTGATTAATAGGATACGGTCAGTTTCTGTTTTCTGATTCACCAACTATATTGGAGCAACTGCATTTGGAAATTATGCATTTAATGCATTTTGAACTTTCAATTTCCTTTTTGTTATGATGCAGTGCAACACTTATGTTAAGTGGAAATTTCCTACCGAGTTCTCAAACCCAGGCTGGCTGGCTATTGACAATGTGCTTCCCAGGAAATGTCTGACTGTAGGTCCAGTTACAGAGTCCATCTTGAAACGATGAAACACAAACTGCAGGCAGGTGGAAGGAACGGGGTGTGAAACATTTCCACATACCCCTCTCCTTAATTTTGTAAACTTTGTTCACACACTCTGCGGTGACATGTTTAGCTCAGGGTCTCCCAAACTAACCCTTGTCACAATGTGCTCACTGAACTGCTCCATTCAACTGAGAATAGACATTTACTTGTTGCTGGTGTAACCTCTCTGCTCACATTAGAACTGGGACAATGTCTATCAGTGCAGTCTCATACTGTGACAACAAGGAGTGTAGTGCAGCATATCTACATCTTGGATTTCCCAAACCATTGGTAACTCATAGTTCGCAACAAACCTATAATTATTTGAAACTTCTCATTTCCACTGCTCAGGCTCAGCACAAAGAAAAAGGCTCAGAAGACATCCGAAAGGAAGCAACGATTCAATCTCGAAGCAGCCATATCTTACCAAGATGAAGTCTGTTTGATATGTGGAAAGCATGAACACAGAGATATTATGATCTGCCAGGGGTGCAATCACTGACTTGGCAATCTTGGTGACTCCAATGGGCTGTGAGCTGGAGAAACTGCCTCCGCCAGAGACAACGTTTAATGCAAGCCATGTCTCGTCTGCCACACTCAGGAGATCCGACCCAGGCAGTTCTAGAAAGACAACAAGAGGAATGTCATATCGCTCAGACAATAGACAGTGCAATTTGTGTCACAGTATTGAAAGCTAATGAGGAAAACCTACGGTTAACAATTTGTCAGCACTCTTTCCAAAAATTGACAAGGATACAAACAAGGGAAGTTTCAAACTGCAGTGAAATTTGTCTTTGAGATCATCTCAATGAAAAGACCATGTGGTAGAATGGTTGTTGGTGCCATTAGTGACTTACTATTAGTTATAAAAGCATTTTATAGCACTTCATTTCGGCAGCGGAGCTGAGTGGGAGCGGTCGAATTGCGCTCTCGGAACGTGTGTGAACTAATATATTTGGGCAGTGGCTAAACCCGAGACACTACATGTGCAGTGTCTCCCACCCACCCTCCTCCTCTGACCAAAAAAAAAGTCTCTGGTGTGTTGATAAGGTAAGCATTTTTCTTTTTATTTTTTTTAATCATGTGCTGGTAAGTAGAGTGATTTGGTACAAAGTTTTTTCATTTCATTTATCGAGTATTTGATATTATAGTAGGACTAAGTTAAGCTTGAGTAAAAATGGCAGGAGATCCCAGACCATGTTATGCTCCTCTTGCTCAATCTGGGAGCTCAGGGACACGGCTGATGTCCCTGACTCCCACACGTGCAGGAAGTGTGTCCAGCTGCAGCTCTTGTTAGACCGCATGACGGCTCTGGAGCTGCAGATGGACTCACTTTGGAGCATCCGCGATGCTGAGGAAGTCGTGGATAGCACGTTCAGCAAATTGGTCACACCACAGATTAGGATTGCTGAGGGAGAAAGGGAATGGGTGACCAAAAGGCAGAAAAAAAGCAGGAAGGCAGTGCAGGTGCCCCCTGCAGTCATCTCCCTCCAAAACAGGTATACCGTTATGGATACTGTTGGGGGAGATGGCTCACCAGGGAAAGGCAGCAGTAGCCAGGTTCATGGCACTGTGGCTGGCTCTGCTGTACAGAAGGGCAGGAAAAAGAGTAGAAGGGCTATAGTCATAGGGGATTCGATCGTAAGGGGAGTAGATAGGCGGTTCTGTGGTCAAAAACGAGACTCCCGAATGGTATGTTGCCTCCCAGGTGCACAGGTCAGGGATGTCTCAGATCGACTGCAGGACATTCTGAAGGGGGAGCGTGAACAGCCAGCTGTCATGGTGCATATAGGCGCCAATGATATAGGTAAAAAATGGAATGAGGTCCTACAAGCAGAATTTAGGGAGTTCGGAGCCAAGCTAAAAAGTAGGACCTCAGAGTAGTAATCTCAGGATTGCTACCAGTGCCACGTGCTAGACAGAGTAGAAATAAAAGAATAGGCAGGATAAATGAGTGGCTTGAGAGATGGTGCAGGAGGGAGGGGTTCAGATTTTTGGGACATTGGGACCGGTTCTGGGGGAGGTGAGACTATTACAAATCGGACGGTCTACACCTGGGCTGGACTGGAACCAATGTCCTAGGGGGTGCTTTTGCTAACGCTGTTGGGGAGGGTTTAAACTAATGTGGCAGGGGGATGGGAACCAAATGAGGAGGTTAGTGGACAGTAAGGAGGTAGTAACTAAAGCCTGTAAGGAACTAGATAATGAAGTCAGTGTGACTAAGGGGAAGAGTAGGCAGAGAGCAGGTGATGAACGCAAAGGGAACGGTGGTCTGAGGTGCATTTGTTTTAATGCGAGAAGTGTAGTAGGTAAGGCAGATGAACTTCGGGCTTGGATTAGTACCTGGGAGTATGATGTTATTGCTATTACTGAGACTTGGTCGAGGGAAGGGCAAGATTGGCAACTAAATATCCCAGGATCTTGATGCTTCGGGTGGGATAGAGAGGGAGGTAAAAGGGGTGGAGGAGTTGCGTTACTGATCAAAGAGGATATCACAGCTGTGCTGAAGGATGGCACTATGGAGGACTTCAGCAGTGAGACAATATGGGCAGAGCTCAGAAATAGGAAGGGTGTGGTAACAATGTTGGGGCTGTACTACAGGCCTCCCAAAAGTGAGCATGAGATAGACGCACAAATATGTAGACAGATTATGGAAAGATGTAGGAGCAACAGGGTGGTGGTGATGGGAGATTTTAATTTTCCCAACATTGACTGGGATTCACTTAGTGTTAGGGGTTTAGATGGAACAGAATTTGTAAGGAGCATCCAGGAGGGTTTTCTAGAGCAGAATGTAAATAGTCCAACTCGGGAAGGGGCCATACTGGACCTGGTGTTGGGGAGTGAGCCCGGCCAGGTGGTTGAAGTTTCAGTAGGGGATTACTTTGGGAATAGTGATCACAATTCCGTAAGTTTTAGAATACTGATGGACAAAGACGAGAGTGGTCCTAAAGAAAGAGTGCTGAAATGGTGGAAGGCCAACTATAGCAAAATTCGACAGGAGCTGGGGAATGTGGATTGGGAGCAGCTGTTTGAGGGTAAATCCACATTTGATATGTGAGAGGCTTTTAAAGAGAGGTTGATTAGAGTGCAGGACAGACATGTCCCTGTGAAAATGAGGGATAGAAAGGGCAAGCTTAGGGAACCATGGATGACAGGTGAAATTGAGAGACTAGCAAAGAGGAATAAGGAAGCATACATAAGGTCTAGGTGATTGAAAACAGACGGAACTTTGGAAGAATATCGGGAAAGTAGGACCAATCTGAAACGAGGAATTAAGAGGGCTAAAAGAGGTCATGAAATATCTTTAGCAAACAGGGTTAAGGAAAATCCTAACGCCTTTTATTCATACATAAGGAGCAAGAGGGTAACTAGAGAAAGGGTTGGCCCACTCAAGGACAAAGGAGGGAAGTTATGCGAGGAGTCAGAGAAAATGAGTGAAATTCTTCATGAGCACTTTGCGTCGGTATTCACTGAGGAGAGGGACATGACGGATGTTGAGGTTAGGGATAGATGTTTGATTACTCAAGGTCAAGTCGGCATAACGGGGGGGGGACATATTGGGTATTCGAAAAGGCATTAGGGTGGACAAGCCCTCAGGTCCAGATGGGATCTATCCCAGGTTCCTGAGGGAAGCGAGAGAGGAAATAGCTGGGGCCTTAACAGATATCTTTGCAGCATCCTTGAGCACAGGTGAGATCCCGGAGGACTGGAGAATTGCTAATGTTGTCCCCTTGTTTAAGGAGGGTAGCAAGGATAATCCAGGTAATTATAGACCGGTGAGCCTGATGTCAGTGGTGGGGAAACTGCTGGAGAAGATACTGAGAGATAGGATCTATTTACATTTAGAAGAAAATGGGCTTATTAGTGATAGGCAGCATGGTTTTGTGCAGGGAAGTTCATGTCTTACCAACTTGATAGAATTCTTTGAGGAAGTGACAAAGTTGATAGATGAGGGAAGGGCTGTAGATGTCATATACATGGACTTCAATAAGGCGTTTGATAAGGTTCCCCATGGTAGGCTGATGGAGAAAGTGAAGTTGCATAGGGTCCAGGGTGTACTAGCTAGATGGATAGAGAACTGGCTGGGCAACAGGAGACAGAGAGTTGTCGTGGAAGAACTGTGACCAGTGGTGTTCCACACGGATCCGTGTTGGGACCACTGTTGTTTGTAATATACATAAATGATCTGGAGGAAGGTATAGATGGTCTGATTAGCAAGTTTGCAGATGACACTAAGATTGGTGGAGTAGCAGATAGTGAAGGGGACTGTCGGAGAATGCAGCAGAATTGGAGAGCTGGGCGGAGAAATGCCAGATGGAGTTCAATCCAGGCGAATGTGAGGTGATGCATTTTGGAAGATCCAATTCAAGAGCGAACTATGTGGTAAATGGAAAAGCCCTGGGGAAAATTGATGCACAGAGAGATCTGGGTGTTCAGGTTCATTGTATCATGAAGGTGGCAACACAGGTCAATAGAGTGGTCAAGAAGGCACACGGCATGCTTTCATTCATCGGACGGGGTATCGAGTACAAGAGTTGGCAAGTCATGTTACAGTTGTATAGGACTTTGGTTCGACCACATTTGGAATACTGCGTACAGTTCTGGTCGCCACATTACCAAAAGGATGTGGATGCTTTGGAGAGGGTGCAGAGGAGGTTCACCAGGATGTTGCCTGGCATGGAGAGCGCTAGCTAGGAAGACAGGTTGAGTAGATTAGGATTATTTACATTAGAAAAATGGAGGTTGAGGGGGGACCTGATTGAGGTCTACAAAATCATGAGAGGTATAGACAGGGTGGATAGCAAGGAGCTTTTTCCCAGAGTGGGGGACTCAATTACTAGGGGTCACGATTTCAAGGTGAGAGGGGAAAAGTTTAAGGGAGATATGCGTGGAAAGTTCTTTACGCAGAGGGTGCTGGGTGCCTGGAACGTGTTGCCAGCGGAGGTGGTAGAGGCGGGCATGATAGCATCATTTAAGATGTATCTAGACAGATACACGAATGGGCAGGGAGCAGAGAGATACTGATCCTTGGAAAATAGGTGACAGGTTTAGATAGAGGATCTGGATCGGCGCAGGCTTGGAGGGCCGAAGGGCCTGTTCCTGTGCTGTAATTTTCTTTGTTCTTTGTTCATTTACAGTGTCTATGTATGGCAACCAGTGCAAATAACTCCTGTACCCACCCATCATGAGAACATATTGAAAGATGCATCAATGTTTCAGAGATAACAAGGTGTGGAGCGAGATGAACACAGCAGGCCAAGCAGCATCAGAGGAGCAGGAAAGCTGACGTTTCGGGTCTGGACACTTCTTCAGGCCTGTTTAATGTCTGTACCAAAGGCGCTGGTTATGGTTCTATTTCCAAACAGTAAGTTAAAGGAAACGACAGCCTGCCTAGAGTATTTGGAATTTATTCTGGCGTGAATGTTTAATACAATAGTTCTGATTCATTCAAAGGTTGGTAAGAAAGCAGAAATCTAAATAATGAATGAATCTTCTTGTTAATTGGGCAGTTAGAATAAATATGGAATATTACTGAATGCACTGTGACAGAGCCATTTACAGGTCTTATTAACATTTCAGTTCTCATGAGGCCACATTAGAGGTGCTCGTAGATAAACTCT